AGATGATAAGATTTTTTTACAATTTTTGTCTGTCTGTCTGTCTGTCTGTTTGTTCCGGTTAATCTCTGGAACAGCTGGATCGGTTTTAACGCAACTTTCACTGATTATATAAGCTGATGATATAAGGAGTAACTTAGGTTACTTTTTTTAGACTAGCTTCGCCTCGCGGCGTCACCCGCGGTACGACAATAACCGCGGGTAACATCGCGGGACTCAGCTAGTAATAAATAAATGTATAAGCCCACACGGCTTTGTACCACAATTCGTATTTCGATAGTTACCACAGTGTAGTCACGCATCAGCTTAAGCTATAGTTTAAAAAATATATCTGCGATTACGTTGCCAGCAATGGAAAAAATGGATACAATTTCGTTTTTAATATATTACAAAAATCACTTTTCAGTTTGAAGGGTGGGGCAGCTGTTGTACTGTAAAAACTGAGACCTTAGGACTTATGTTTTGAGATGATCGGCGGCATTGATATGGTTGAAGTCTATGGGCTCCGTTGACCACTTAACACCTGGTGAGCCGTGAGTTCATCGAAAAATCTAAGCAATAAAAATACAAATATTCATTCCGACGCTTATTTAAATTATTTATCCGTATACACATTTATTACACATTTCAATTGCCAATCATCGCAGTTGTGTATACATAAAAACTTTGAAGAGCCAAATTACAGACGTCTAGTTTGAATTAGAGCATGAAATGATTTCAATTCAGCAACCATGTTCAATAGCCTGGGAAATCGATGTTACGGCGTCTTGATAGCGTGTTGTAAGTACTCGCTTACATTGTATCATACAGTCGTAGAGTCTATTTAACGATATCTATACATATGAATAAAATTGGAGTGTCTGTTTGTAATATTGAAATAGCCTCTTTTTACTACATGCAAATGAATATATATACGGTACATACACCAAAATAACATTTTTTACAATTTTTGTCTGTCTGTCTGTCTGTTTGTTCCGACTAATCTCTGGAACGGCTGGACCGATTTTGATGGGACTTTCACTGATAGGTAGCTGATGATATAAGGAGAAACTTAGGTTAGTTTTTTTTGACTAGCTTCATCCCGCGGCGTCACCCGCGGCACGACAATAACCGCGGGTAACATCGCGGGACCCAGCTAGTAATAAATAAATGTATAAGCCTGGAACTTACTGGTTACTGGAACCCATAGATAGACATCTATAAATTAAATGCGCCACCCACCTTGAGATATAAGTTCTAAGGTCTCAAGTATAGTTACAACGGTTGCCCCGCCCTTCAAACTGAAACGCATTACTGCTTCACGGCAGAAATAGGCAGGGTGGTGGTACCTACCCGTGCGGACTCACAAGACCTCTTACCACCAGTATACTATACAACAAATTTGTAAACCCGTAACCACATGCGAAGCAATGATAAGCTCAGATGACCCGCTATTCTCAGTGTTTGATTTTCAATTTTAATACATTGCGTGCCATCCATCATGTGCCTTCGTTTTGGACAACCGTTCGAATACACAGTATAATATTATGTTGTCCGAACGCCACGGCAGTGTGTTCATGCGTTTCGAAGCTCGCAAATTAACGCGTACATACTTTGCAATTAGTTTGCTGCCGGTTTTAGATTAAAGGCCGTGTGTAACATGTAGACTTGATTATTTAATTCAAGTTCTATTTTGTAGGTAGTTTTATATTTAATACAGACAGTGAGTGTTTCGTAGGAGTTACTTTGGTGCTTTAATATATTGTAAATTCTTGCAAAGATAATTATTTCGTTCAAATTTAATATTTTATTTTTTATTATTGCTTAGATGGGTGGACGAGCTCACAGCTCACCTGGTGTTAAGTGGTTACTGGAGCCCATAGACATCTATGACGTAAATGCGCCACTCACCTTGAGATATAAGTTCTAAGGTCTCAGTATAGTTACAACGGCTGCCCCAACCTTCAAACCGAAACGCATTATTGCTTCTCGGCAGAAATAGGCAGGGTGGTGATACCTACTCGCGCGGACTCACAAGAGGTCCTACCACCAGTAGGACAGAACAGAACCAGTAGGATAGAACAGAACACTCTATTTCCACTTTGTTAATAATTTCTAATCTTCGCAAAATATAAAATGTTTATTCGATCTTCATTTGACAACTATGGCTTTCACAAATCACCGTGACCACATTGGTTTCCCTTTTCGGCGTTGACAGGATCGTGATTTAAAAAAAAATCTAGAATCTATTTGTCTTACAGCCTACAGATGCCCACTGCTGGACATAGGTCTCTCCCAAGCTTCGTTACAACGATCAGTCGTGGGTTATTTGCATCCAGCGGATCTCCGCGAATCTCAATAGGTTTTCGGTCCACCAGGAGACCTACCCACGCTACATCTTCTGTATAAATCTAGAGTCATCGAAATAATATTAATCACTCTACATAGGTATTGGCTACATACAACTTTGACTGCGATTAGTCGCACTCTTTCCTAAAATACTGTCATTCGCAGAAAACCTCTTCAAACTTTACGCGAATAAGAGCTTTTTTTTTAAATGGTTAGATCGGTGGACGAGCTCATTGCCCACCTGGTGTTGAGTAGTTTTCACAGTACGGCTGCTCTACCCTTCACACCGAGACGCATTACTTCACGGCAGAAATAGGCAGAGTATTGGTAACTACCCTTGCCGAGTCACAACACGTCCAACCACCAATAAACTTGTTATTGCGCCAAGAAACGTAATCGTTAGACTAGAAATTTATAATTACGGAACATCGTGATTACAGTAAACAAAACAAAATATCACCGAAAATCATAACATAAAAACCGACAAGCATTTACTTCGAGCCACCCGGATAACGGGTTAACCTTAAAAACCTTGTAAAAACGCTTCACGTTCCACATATGACCGCTAACGTTTGGACGAAAAGACACGTGCCGACCGCAGTCGTTACCGTCCTACGTGTCCCGTGCTTGCGGCACATTACAACACCTGCGTACTTGGTAACAAACTATTTTCCTATTCAATTACGCTTACAACCAGAACAGCACAAAAATTTATGTTTGAAATAACATTAGGTCAAGGTGCTAGGCTATATAGAGGTCCCTTGTTGGGTTTGTATCGAGTAATGCGATTACACTGGGCTTAAAATGCTACAGCAGGTGAATAGGTACGTCTACCGTAAAATATACGTATCGTTACACTGGTATAGTAACGCCATCTGTTGCCGAATCGCAGAACCGAAAAAGCAGTTATTACGTTCACGTCTATTTCTGCCAATATGCAGTCAGCTGTGCCATGTGTGAGACAAATGGATGGGTTATTCCCTGCTTATTCCTGCTGTGAAGTAGCAATGCGTTTCGGTTTGAAGGGTGGGGCAGCCGTTGTTACAATAATGAGACATTACAACTCATATATCAAGGTGGGTGGCGCATTTACGTCATAGATGTCTATGGGCTCCAGTAACCACTTAACACCAGATGGGCTGAGAGTTCGTCCACCCATCTTAGCAATAAAAAATAAAAATGAGATTTAGAGCTCGTGTCTGAATGTAGGTGGTGGCGATTACGTTATTGATGTCCATGAACTCCAGTAACCACTCAAAACCAGATTGGCCGTGTGTTTGTCCACTCATCTTAGCAATAGAAAAACCACAAAATTTCACATTAAATATCAAAATAACCAACCTAAACGCAAACTCGCATACAACGTTAAATATGTACATAATTTTTCACATGATATATTTATATTGGAAAACATTACGATATTTGATTAGACATTAGAACGTTACGTTTATTCTCGCGTAAAATTTTCTCGTGAAGCCTCCAGAAGTCCTAAGTAAACACCATTTAATTTTATGTTGATAAAACAATATCTCGTAGCGATTTCGTTCACAGAACCAAATGCTTACATTTAAATTGTTTTTATACGTGGCGTGCTTGAGGAAGCTTTGAATAATTTAATCTAAAATAAAAAAAATAAAAAAAACCATAGCAGCGCTCAAGAAATCTGTTAAAGAACACTAGTTATTCTTACCATATTAAATAAAAGTATATATATATGTTTGTATAATATATTATAATATAAAGTAAGTCTATCTGTGTTGTTTGTGCGTATTTGTATGTATACATATTGTTTTGTATCTTGTAATATCTATATATTATTATGTGTAATGTTTACTGTATGCACTAGGTTTGTGTTCCTAATTCTTCTTTCCTTTTGCGGGCCTACTGGAAAAGATTTCAACATGAAATAAGTAGTGCCCTTGTACTCTGTATCCTTATTGTCGTGTTTTTTCTAACAGCTGTGTGTACAAAATATATTAAATAAATAAAAATAAAATAAATAAAATTTGAGTTCCTATTTAAAAAAGAAAAAGAAACACGATGGTAAATTATTATTTTGTACGGCTACACTCACGTCACGTTAATTGTTGCAAGTACTCTTGTATGAAAAGGGTTGCCAGATGCGCGGAATATCCGGAACAATTCCGGAAATTTTATAATCAATATTAAACTATTTATATTTGATGTTGTACGTAGTAGGCAACAGCTTAATACTCAGAGAACGCTGCTAACTATTCTCTGGTGAATCGAATTTTACGACACCCAGGAGAAGAGATAGGAGGACTTACTTACTTTTTACTTAATTTTTACCAATGGTAGGACCTCTTGTGAGTCCGCGCGGGTAGGTACCACCACCCTGCCAATTTCTGCCGTGAAGCAGTTATGCGTTTCGGCTTGAAGGGTGGGGCAGCCCTTATAACTATACTTGAGACCTTAGAACTTATATCTCAAGGTGGGTGACGCATTTGCGTTGTAGATGTCTATGGGCTTCAGTAACCACTTAACACCAGGTGGACTGTGAGCTCGTCCACTCATATAAGCAATAAATAATAATAATATTGGAAACGTCACAATTAACCCTGTAAGAAATGGCATTGAATCTATAGTTAATTTATTACGAGTAAATGAAACAAAAGTATTCGAATAAGCGTTATATTTCACTCCGTACATTGTACTCAGACTATACATGGATTGTCGATGTGTATCCTTCCATCCACGTCCGCGAAAACTGGAGACTGGTGCCTCACGTACTTCATCAGCAGATCATAGTCGACGCCCACGACTGTTACGTTCTTACGGTTGTTTGAAATCATCTGGGAACACACAGGGAATTGAATGGTTAGCTAAGCGTAAATACTGCTCGTTTGGTAAGCAATGGTCATAGAAAGTTCAACGAACCCGCGCCTTCACGCGGCCGTTGACCTCGCGCTTCAGTTCGTTATTAATTTAATAACATTGCGGGTATTCGTTAATAATTTATATGTCGGAGACGGTCAATAGTTTGGTAGCTAAATGAAGTCGGAAACGGTGATTAGTTTGGTAGCTAATGCTATAGATATTGGATGTGGAATGTTGTCTTTAACGATCAGTACTGCCCCTATTGCAGTGGGCCCACGGAACTCTGTTCGTGACAGATAGTACTGCCCTATGTGACCGTTGTCATTCACGATTCTCATTTAATTAGTTCAGTATGCATTTTTATAGTTCATTTCAATTACTGGGTCACGATCAGTGATTATTGAATAGTAATAAATTCCTGATGTCTGAGTCTTAATAATGACATATATTTTAATGTCAAAATTCATGTTAAAGTTCACGGTAGGCAGCGGTTTGAATCTGCCCCTGGTATTGCTGAAGTTCATGGACGACGGTAACCACTCACCATCAGGTGGGCCGTGTGCTCGTCTGCCTGCACGAACAAATAAATAAAAGCTTTTATTTTATCGCAATATGTTTTCTTAACAGCAAGCAACACTACAACTGGTGTTCGACGAATATCGATTAAATGAAGGTACAAGAAAAAATAGCATATTGTAAATTTCGTTGTAAACCCTATGAATAGGGTTACCCTATAGAATCACTTTTTTACTAATAAACAAAGAGAAGTTTGAAGCTGTCGTGGCCTAAGGGATAAGACGTCCGGTGCATTCGTGTTGAGCGATGCACCGATGTTCGAATCTCAGGCGGGTACCAATTTTTCTAATGAAATACGTACTCAACAAATGTTCACGATTGACTTCCACGGTGAAGGAATAGCATCGTGTAATAATAATGAAACCCGCAAAATTATAATTTGCGTAATTACTGGTGGTAGGACCTCTTGTGAGTCCGCGCGGGTAGGTACCACCGCCCTGCCTATTTCTGCCGTGAAGCAGTAATGCGTTTCGGTTTGAAGGGTGGGGCAGCCGTTGTAACTATACTGAGATCTTAGAACTTATATCTCGAGGTGGGTGGCGCATTTACATTGTAGATGTCTATGGGCTCCAGTAACCACTTAACACCAGGTGGGCTGTGAGCTCGTCCAACCATCTAAGCAATAAAAAATAAAAATAAAAAGAGAATTGCAGCTATCACGTTCAAACTGATTCCCAATACCAAATTTTATAAATGGAAACTTTTATGAGCTTCTAAAATTTAAGAGCCGCTTATATAAATAAGGAAGCGTTGGTATTATTTATGACTAAGTTAAGCATCTTTCTTGGCCGGGTATTGCAAAGTTTGTTGGTCAATTTGTTGAAACTTAAGGAAATGTTAAAGTTGTCATTTACGCTTTTTTAAATCGTTTATTTAGTAAACCATTCTAATAGCTGCGTGACTTTAAAAATATAATCATTATTTCAGTGCTTTTATATTATTTAATTTACAAAAATGTTATTGGCATAGCTTAGCTTAGATATCTGCATAATTTCGTTTAATGATAATTCTTATTTATCAATTCTATATTAATTTAATAAATGTGAATGTGTGTTTGTTTGTATTTGTTTGTCATTGTTGTCATGTCGAAACGAAGCGATGGATTGACAGTTTTTTTTATGAGGCCAGAACAGTAACATAGGCAACCTTTTATTCCGAAAAAGCATTTATTTTTTATTATTATTATTATTATTGCTTTTGTTTTATTCCGAGATTGTAGTTATTGTTTTAATTTAATTCTGGTATAATATATGAAATGTTAATGAGTGTAATATAGATGCAAAATCTGAAGTAAATGAAACAAAATTTAAAAAAAAACCCATCGGAATCTAAACTGACACTGTTCCTTGACCACGCGGACGAAGCCGCGGGTAACAACTGGTATATTATTATATTCTTGTTGATTTTTCAAATTGCATTTCGATTCACTAAAATAATGATTCAATAAAACTACGATCTGTGTTACGTGTGCATATCTAATGTTAAATTCTACTAGAGACGACACTAGCTACCGCAGCTCTTGTCCTCATAAAATAAATTCAATTTTTTTATTATTACTACGTATAGTTTACGTTATTTAAATATATTTTCCGTATATTTTCGTAAATTACTCACATAAAATCCGCCTCCACCGTTACCAATGAAATCCGGCGTGACAACCCTATAATAGCGGTCTGGTATCAGCGGTTCGTATACCGGAACGCTGCATTCAATGCATCGAATTGTCACACTGATCAACCGGCTGCCTACAGGTCGAGAGCCATCGAAAACCGGTCGAATCCCTAGAATAACCGGGAACTCAGTTATAAGGCGGATCAAATCAAGGCGATTGTTTTTATCAGACGTTATGTTGCTTATTGATTGATTGCTAAAGAACTGGTGGTAGGACGTCTTATGAGTCCGCACGTGTAGGTACCACGACCCTGTCTGTTTCCGCCGTGAAGCAGTAATGCGTTTCGATTTGAAGGGTAGTACAGCCGTTGTACTGTACTGAGACCTTAGAACTCACATCTCAAGGTAGGTGGCGGCATTTACGTTGTAGATGTCTATGGACTCCGGTAAACACTTAACATAAAGTGTGTTGTGAGCTCGTCCATCCACCTATGCAATAAATAAATAAAAGAATTCTGTGAGGATGTTAACACAGGAAGGCTTGGAATTTCGACATTCCTATAAAAAAAACTTGATATAATACGACTAATCCCGAGATCGAAATAGTTATAAATTCCAACGTAAATTCAGTTTTCCTTTCGTAAGTTTAACGTAAATATTTGTCGCAATACCTAGCAGTAATAAGTGATTTCCTATTTCGCGAACCCGCAATGGATAAAGAAGGTGAGCTATTCATTCAAATTGCATTACATTACGTGACATTAAAAAAATTAAATAAAAACCAACCGGTCTTTGATTTGAATATGGTTTCAAAAGTGACCACATAAATTTATGGTGATGTTTTTAAAAGTAATGAATGCGACAAAGATTTTTTTACTTGTCGTAATGCCGATCAGACACTATCACAAATAAAATATTATGAATAAATAAAAATATTTCTATATAAACAGGAATTACATGTGTATAATATATAGTTTTAATATACATATTATTAAAAGTGCTTATAAATAATAATATATATAAATTATAGGTAACGAAATTATGCAGATATTTCACTAAAAGAAGTAATATCTAACTTGATCTTTCAACAATTAACAAAAAATGTCACACCGCAAACAACCAATCTATTATAGTACCTAGGTAACCTCATGAATTCTAGATTTTTCCGAAAACAGAATCATGATACATCACATCATACACCCTACAAATTCGGGACCATTGACCTTACACTGGACTAAATCGGCATCAACAAAACCAACGGGAAGTTCCTTAAATTAGTCCCTACAAGGGCAATAAAAATAAAATCATTATCATCATCATCAGCCTATAATAGTCCACTGCTGGACATAGGTTTCTCCAATTGCTCACCACTGAGCACGATCCTTGGCTTCTCTCATCCAGCTCCTGCCAACCACCCGGCACAGATCATCACTCCACCGAGCGTGAAGACGTCCTGGACTATTGAATATTAACTACTAACTGATTGCGTTACTTTGAATATTGTCGAAGGCGACGGTTATTGGTTAATTGACGTCTTCAGCTCTAACACTAGGAGTAGGCTTAGGAGCCCCGGTAACTGTACTCGTCGAACTCGACATGCATCAGCCCGTTGAGTTTCTCGCCGGATCTTCTCAGTGGGTCGCGATTCCGATCCGGTAGTAGATTCGTTCGCGAAGCAATTGCTCTTGAGCTGTTAGGTCTCCTTCGGAGACGCTCGGGCAGTTGTTAGCAAATCCCACCCCTTCTGATTGAGCATTTGCTCACCCACCTGTCTTGGTGAAACTGGAAAGGCCTCCGGGCCACCAGTAATCTTTCAGTCATAAAAAAAACATTGGTTAACGCGATACATCATCGACCAAACATCACTCACAGAGAATCCATCGCCACCCGTTCCGATGAAACTCTGGGAGACGACTCTGTAATACTTGTCACGCTCCAACGGTTCGTATCTGGGGACGTCGCAGGCGATGCACCTGACGGCCACGTTCAGAACCCGTTCGTTAACCGGCCTCGACCCGTCGAATGTCAGCAACAATCCTGTTTAAAAGTGGAATATCCGACTCGTAGTCCTTGATTGCTTTTTTGTCAATGAAAAATGTGTTTTCATGGATATGCCGATTTTTGGATTGGAATAGAATTGGTTTGGAAATAAATAAACCTACAAAGCAGGCGGACATCCATGATATGTGAGTACGAAGATTATCTATTAAGACTAATTAATTATAATGAGTGATATTGACACTTCAAGTCGCAATTTATAAAATGTGATTTTAAACATCCGGGTTTAACTTTTAGGTGTGAAAATTGTAAAATAATATTACTTCTCTGAATATATTCCCATCAAAAACACAATATCACCTATTGCAGTCTCTAATGCTAATCATAATATCAAGAGATACAGTTTCAAAGAAGAGAAGATAAGTAAATCATCTATGGATACTCTAGGCTAATGAGAAAGACAACAAAGATAAGATTAAGACCCAAACTATTTTATAACAGACAAACACATATTGTTATAATTATAAATGATAAACATAAATATGATAGACATAAATAGATGTATATTTTAAAAATATTTATAAATTTAAATGGATAAAAGCATGATCTGTAATTTTTTTTTATATATAACCAAACGAAACAAAATACCTTTGAAAATGAACTACCATTTCATTTTATTTAAAACGCCTCTCATTAAAATGATTATGAAAAGAATAGAATTAATTAATTGTAGCTCCATCATTAAGCGTGCGATCAAAACGAACAGTAAACCGTTTTATCTTCATGGACTGTTAAAATCCAAAAGCAATTAACGAAATTAAAATACTTTTATAACATATTATAAAATGCAATTTATCAACAGTATGCATAATACAACATTTTCCATACAAAATTCCGTAATTATAAATGAAGTTTGGATCTAAAAATGCTATGGGAAATATCAAGCTTATTTATACATTGGGGAGCTTGCGAATCGATTTGATTGACTTTAGGAGCAAAAAAATTTAAAGTTTCCTTTCGTAGATAAAAGAATTTCACTTAAATCTTCCACTATGGCCAATATGGGCCGTATGGGTCATTTAGTAAAATAAGGTATAGTGAAATATAGTGAAAACACACTTAATACAAATTCTCTCAATCACTTACTCATAGAAGTTTGAAATCTTATAATAATTACACAGCATTAGTCTAACATACTTACCAGAGACTTGCAACATTCTCGCACCAGCATAGGGATCATTAGCGACAGAAAATTCGAGCATTTCCATAATGTGGTCTCCTCTTAAATCGAAAACCTCAACGCTGTTCTCGAACGGTGTCGATGAGATCACAGATTCGAACGTTATTTCTGAAATTAGAGATCTTTGTTCATTAAAGATTTCACATCGCGAACCGCTCCAAGGTAAGGCTTTTTTTGTATTATCGGTGCCGGAGATTTAAACGACATAAACAAGGACACTCAAATGGTAATAGTACAATGCCAATTACCATGGAAAATGGCAAGTTAAAAATAAATACATATATTTCTCAGTTAGAATGGATAGCTGCTGGGATCAGATCGATGCCTCCAATGAACACTACTCTAACTCAAAATTTTGAAATTTTCGTTTTTCACGCCAATCGCTTCACTATTTCAAAAGTATTACAAATTATTATTGATGGCGTTCGAAGCAAGAGTAAATCAGCTAGTTACACAAAAAAAAACATAAATATATCTGCAATAATAAAGATTTTACCAACTCTTTTCGTTTAAACGCTCCGTAAAACTCACGCTTCGTAAACCTACGAATTTAGAGTTAGCGTAGTATTTATTGGAGGCATCGAGATGAACGCTATAAAAGATTGCTCGTTGATCAGTGTACGCTAATATCATAACTAACTTCCAGGTTCGATGTCCACTCTGATACCGCCTTGGTTGATGACGCAGAAATGAGCATGATGCCAATTGTTACCCTGAGCTCTGTCCATGACCTGAAACATGACTTATATTCATCATCTCAATCTTTATATTAATCACAAGATGAAAGGAACTTCATAAAATATTTATTTTTACATTAAAGTTTTTTTAGTACATGTCATTCTTCCATCAATGACTTCAATCGGACATCACATTGTAAAGCTCAAGCCAAATCCCTATGCAGCACGATAAATAGATTTTACACAGACCCCACATAATGTGGGATAAGTTCGAAGAAGAAGATTCTTCCATCAAGTGGTAAATTAATTTTGAGGTACTTGATTATTGATTATCCAAATTTTTGTAGACCGGAGTTCGGCCAATGTATAATAATTTTTTATTACCACCAGACTAGTATATCGTACCTACTTATATAGCCTCAAACGCGTGGTGTTTTTTTATTTTTTTATTGCTTAGATGTGTGAACGAGCTCACAGCCCACCTGGTGTTAAGTAGTTACTGGAGCCCATAGACATCTATAACGTAAATGCGCCACCCACCTTGAGATATAAGTTCTAAGGTCTCAAGTATAGTTACAACGGCTGCTCCACCCTTTAAACCGAATCACTCCTTCACCAGTAATGCCACCAGGAAGTACGCAAATTATAATTTTACCGGTTTGATTTTTATTACCCCACCTTTCAAACCGAATTGCATTATTGCCTCACGGCAGAAATAGGCAGGGTGGTGGTACCTACCCGTGCAGACTCACAAGAGGTCCTACCACCAGCAAAAGATTACATAGACACCGTACTCACTTCGTGCATGAAAGCATCGCAGATAAGACTGCCAAGATTACATTCACCGCAAGCGCACCTTGAAGACAAGTGCACGAGCGATGAACCTACTTCCACTGACGCTTGTTCTTCGATCAATGGTTGGTATACTTTAATTTTTTCTAAAACATCGGGCGCTGTGGATAGAATACTGCTATGTTAAATCATCTATACGTACATATAAATAAAATTGGAGTGTCTGTTTGTAATATTGAAATAACCGTTTTTTACTACATGCATATGAATATAATGGTACATACACCAAAATAATATTTTTTTTAATTCTTGTCTGTCTGTTTGTTCCGGCTAATCTCTGGAACGGCTGGACCGATTTTGACGAAACTTTCACTGATAGGTAGCTGATGATATAAGGAGTAACTTAGGCTATCGCTAGTATAAAATAAACAGTATAAGCTGATTCCAGATACTAAATGCGTTAAAATGAGAGGTTTGATTCATCATCAGCCGGCAAACATCCACTGCTGAGCCTACCCTTTCCCAAGGTCTACCAGTGATCAGTCTGGCACTGTCCACGTCCACTCATTTGACTTATATTTTAATATCGTATCTTATAAGTACCTATGTATGTAATACGATGATATTTTAAGATAGGATGGACTGGGGCTTAGACTTAGATTTCAAAAGCTTAATTTTTTTAAATTTCGTCTCGACCACTCCATTTGTATTTTTTTTTTATAAATCACGCTATAAATTCCATATTAAAATTTCAGAACCGATATCGGTGAAACGGAAAAAAAATTAAAAGGCATCTAACAAAAAAATATGAAATACCGTACCCTTTTAAAAAAAATCCTATCAAATGATTCCCCAAGTCATTTAATATACAGCTGCACTCCATTATACTCCCGAATTGACTATCTCATGACAAAATCGCATTCATTGGCCTTAGAACAACGTATAATTTAGCGAAAGGTCAAATACCTTGTTCGATTTCATTCCCAATGTAATGAGGATGACCCTCCCAATCAAGTAGATTGCCTGAGTCATCGAAAAACAGTTTGATCTCGCCAAGATACTGTGTGTGCGCGGCAGCCTGGACGATCAATACCTAAGGAAATGTGGAATGAGAAAGTATTAAAATTGACAAACATCTTCAGAATAACACCGGACTATTTACATTTTTGGAGGCAAATATTTAGCAGTAGTAGAGTTGGATTTTACAATACGCCAAGTTGATACTATCAGCCTCGAATGTGGTGTAACGTTTTCATTTATTGAATCTACTAATATTTACTACTACAAAAATGGGAAACTTTGTTTGTTTGTAACGTTTTCTCGTTTTAAATACTGTATCGATCACGTTGAAGTACAGAAAATGACATAGGGTACCTTTATCCGGAAAAATGGTATTTATCTCTATAACTATAATTTTACACATTAACAAGAAACATCTTAGTGATCGATTTCTCTCTCACATTAGATGCTATATGATATATGCCACCCCACTAAATGTAATAGATTTTTTTTATTTTTTATTACTTAGATAGGTGGACTAGCTCGCAGCCCACCTGTTGTTAAATGGTTACTAGAGCCCATAGACATCTACAACGTAAATGCGCCACCCGCCTTGAGATATAAGTTCTAAGGTCTCAGTAAAGTTACAACGGCTGCCCCACCCTTCAAGCCGAAACGCATTACCGCTTCACGGCAGAAATAGGCAGGGTGGTGGTACCTGCCCGTGCGGACTTAGAAGAGGTCCTACCAACAGTAATATTTAAACTTTCTGTACATTTTGTTATTGGCTCTGTTTTACACAAAAAAAAACAATCTGTCTCTTTGGTTTTCTATGGGATTTTAGTTAGTATTTCCGTCCACCTATAGAAAACGTCATTGAGAAGGAGGGTACTAAATACTTTAGATTACAATTACCGGTCCGCCGTCAGTATCCACAACGACCGGATAGGGACCACGAGGGACAAACCCGCTGTTCTCTGGAGGCTCACCATTAAAGAGCAGGGTGTGACTATGACCTCCTACAACGATGTCGATGTGAGGACCACCATTAGCCGCTATTTCTCTGAAAAATTATTGTTACCTTTAATTGTAGGGTGCTCAAAACCTCAGTGAATTCGAATTGTATACCCACCATAGATTTTACATTAATTATCTCGGTTTATACACAATGTTACCTTATTATATGGCATCTAAAATAATAGTTGACGATGGCTACTGGTAAAAGGCTTTTAAAAGCTAAAACGATGAACAACATTTACGTGCACCATTAAGAATCATGATTCTTTTGAGTTTGATCGTTGATTTAGTATTAATTACCTCTCATCGCTCAGTGAGGTGCTGCGTCGATATTAGTATGAGGTAGAGGGACCCAAAACTTCGAATATTTAATTACAAATAAAATTCTTTGTTCATTTAAAATTGACCAAGCAACCAATTTGCCAAACTTATTTTTCAGGTGAGACAAATTTATAAGCTCTTGATTTCCATTAATTCCATTGATTAATATTTTCCCCCTCCGTACACACTCTGCGCGATCTCGTGGTGTTTAGTGCTTTTATAATAAATGACTGCCCTACCTTTCTTACAACGCCTGCCCCACCCTTCACATATCATGCATTTCTATTTTCTTACCTATCAATATCAAGACCGCAATGTGATAGTACTATAATGATGTCGATTCCTTGTTGGTGTAGTTTCTCCGCTTCTGCTTTGACTGTTTCAACTTCATCGGTGAATTGTAGTTTCCCAGTAGATGCTAGTTGCTGAAATTTATGATTATGTTAATAAGGTATATTCCTAATATGATTAGAATAATTAGTTAGTTTGTATAGCTTTTTTCGTTTCTTTTGAAGTATATCGGCAGTCGAGATCTTGGCCCATATGTTATTGAGTGTTTACTGGAGTTCAGGAGGCATTAACAGGTGGATGCTGCTTCCTACCTTAAAAAACGATGATGAAATATCAATTTTATTATATATTGACTATGCTAATCTTCAAATGTGCGTAATTTAGCGGTAGGCAGCGGCTTGGCTCTGCCCCTGGCATTGCTGAAGTCCATGGGCGACGGTAACCACTCACCATCAGGTGGGTAGTATGCTCGTCTGCCTACAAAGGCAATAAAAAAAAAAATTGCTTTACAATAAAAGTGGCCGAAATAGTAATGCTAGGCATTAAAAAAACTTATAAATTCAGTTGTTAAGATAATAATAAAAGTCCAAATTGCTCTCTGTGTAGTAGTTTATCAACAGATTTTTCTGAGGATACTGAATTGATTATCGTATCTACTATAATTGGCATGGCAACCAAAAAAATATATTTGCAAAGATAAAGTACTTATTTTTCCAGTAAGCTATGCTTCAACATTTAATTTCAAGGTTATCAATACTATGGATTTACGGCCTTGTTATGTCTGCAATTAATTCATATCTGCCCAAATGAACTAAAAATTAACCTGAAATAACGGATAACTGAAACATAACTCACGTCGGTAATGGCAATAATAACACCGATTATACCAATCTTCCGGCCTCCCCTTTCTACGATAATGCTTGGTTTGTACAGCCCTTGGATAGTTGGCTCATCGTCATCAATAATATTGGCAGTGACTACAGGAGAATCCAAGTGCTCAAGATAAGGTACTACGCCTTCAATGCCGTTATCGAACTCGTGGTTTCCTAAGACCTAGAACATAACAAGGTCCCAAATTCTTCGACTTTTTAATTTAGATTTGGATGACACAAATGAATGGTGAACAAAACAAAAGGTAAGCGAAGTTAAAAAGAAACACATGTAGTGGGTAAGGAAAACGTTAATGGAAGCGAAATATTACGGAAATTTAAAAGGAGTAAAGGAGATTAAAGCAAAAAAGCTCTGCTCACATATTTTAAATATATATAAACATATCCGCGTATTCTCATTGCTACTAACAAGGTGTTCGTCCTTCATTATTTATCGTAGTTTAGAACATTCTTATCTGAATTGAGATAATAATACTTATATATCATATATGAATTACATTAATATAATTGTTTAGATAATCTTCTATAATTTCCTGTATTTATAAACGTGACGTCATAAGAGTAGTTCCATCTGTAATTATCTGTCGCTTTGTGGGTACCAAAGGGAATAAATCCGTTTTTATGCAGTTATTTTTTTGTTTTTATTGTGTGATAGATGATATAAGTATCTAGTAGATGTAAATGATATTTATATTTAACTGCACTAAATATCTTTATCTGTAGGGTAATTAGACTGACTTCCAGCTGCTACCAATGCTTCACATTACCATTCATCATTCGTCATCACGCTTCTTTGAAGTACGTTTAGCTTCTTTCAATACCCAAACGCACTGCTAATTCTAGTTCCATGAACACTTGTCTAGGTCATTAGTGTGTGTGGTAGATTATGTCTTTAAAGTCATTGTTTAGCACAAAAGGACGTTCTGATTTGAAGGACAATGTCTTTATAATCATTATCTGGACGTTATGATGTGAAGAATGGTGTCCAAAATTGGATATTGGCACTTGTGTTGTGTTGACTATTGACTCTACTGGCTGTTGAATGCGAGTTACCCTATTAAAGGGCTGATCAAATAATTGTTCGACATTTAGTCCCTTGAGATTTTTGAGATGCCAAAGTTAATTCTGACTACCTGGAATCACTGTGTTTATTCAGGCTTTTGAATGTACTCCCCTTTCGGTATTTATTGAGCGCAATGATGTACATGTTTCTTCGAGATGATAAAATAATCATTTGCGATAAGTAGTGACTTAGCTATTTACTTGACATTGCTGATCTTCGTAATCGCTGGCAATCGACATAAGATGGCCTTTAGCTTTATTAGATTTCGCTGTTAAATTCTACACAGATCTATTTCTTGCCGAAAGAATGAATGTCAAAATAATAATAATCTATTCTAGAATATTCGTATCCTACTAAGACTATCATTAAAAAGAAGAAAAAACTTTGAGAAACTTACATGAGCATCATGTTTGAGCATGTTCATGAACTCTTGAGTTACATTCCATCTAAAGATATTGTACCATATGGTACCCTGGAAGCTATCTCCTGCATTTAGTAGCAAGGAGTCTGGTTCAGCTGCTTGTCTCTCCCTTACTTTAGTAGCGAGTCTGGCAAATCCTCCGATACATGGTGCATTGGTCGGATTACAAAGTGTGCCCGCTGGGCTGGTTTCTACGAATCTTAAGGTAAAACAAATTTAAGGTAAAAATTTAAGAATAATCTCTATATATAAAAATGAATTGCTGTTCGTTAGTCTCGCTAAAACTCGAGAACGGCTGGATCGATTTGGCTAATTTTGGTCTTGAATTATTCGTGGAAGTCCAGGGAAGGTTTAAAAGGTGAGAAAATATAAAAAAGCTCGGAATTATATAAAAATAAACAATTTTGTTTTTCCTTTGATGTGTCCCCGATCGGACGGATTATCTGGAACCCGTGGTCATTAACAACGTAAATGCCGCCACCCACTTTGAAGCATTAGTTCTAAGTCTCAGTTTTAACAAACGCGACACTGATAAACTACAAGTGTAAGAAAAAAATAAAAAAGGAATGAATGTCGAAAGAATGTCGTCGGGTAATCTTGTTCACATACTCGCACTACACGCATTTCACGCCAAATTCACGCGTGTAACAATCAAGATAAATCGTTATAAACATTCGTTGCCGTATCTTCATATCTGTATTGCGTCTGATACAAGATGGACTATCAAAGATAGCTCGAAGGTCGCGAATTAACAATCTTTGAAATAATATATTTATTCCGGATCAAATATCTTTCCTTTTTTATTGCTTAGATGTGTGGACGAGCTCGCAGCCCACCTGATTGTTGAGTGGTTACTAGAGCCCATAGATATCTACGACGTAAAAGCGTCACCCACCTTGAGATATAAGTTCTAAGTTTTCGTTATAAGTTACAACGGCTGCCCCACCCTTCAAACCGAAACGGATTACTGCTTCACGGTAGAAATAGGCGAGTGGTGATACCTACCCGTGCGGACTCACAAGAGATCCTACCACCAATAAAAGTATCTTTTGCTATTATGTTGAAGTTCCAATTACAAAAATGTAAAGAAACGTCGTTACTTTTAGAAAGAATACATAATATCGTGGCTATGATTGCATTTAGAAATCACTGATTTCTATTACGTTATATGCTTCGAATTTCAAAATACCATAATTCTTCTCTAAAACAGTTGTTACGACATGAGTACTGGAAGTCTATACTAATATATAAATCTACAGTGGTTTTTACGGATGTTCCGTTATAACTACTGAACTATGCATCCGATTGACTTGAAACTTGATATCCATGTAGAAAATACATGTACTTAATAGATAGGCTAATATTTATATGAGTGTTGGACTCCCTAATAATAATGACAATATATAATAATGTTAATTTTAAATGCCCAGTGAAGCGGGCGAGTACGGCTAGTTAGGGAATAAAATTATTATTGATGTATGATATTTGGAATATTTGGTAGGCAGCGGCTTCGCTCTGTCCCTGGTATTGCTGACGTGGACGTCAGTAGTACCAGAAATCTACATAATTACTTTAGTGCGCCAAGTAGGGCACCGGTGACCTACAAGGCAGCCAACGTGTTAATAGTGTTATTAACGTCATAGATGCTATCTATCGCTTTTTTAGGTTCTGATACTACTTACCAAATTCTGTTCAGTAGTAATAAATCTCTCAGATTTTCCTAATAAATACTCCCTCACAATTACTTCAACACATTTTCTATCGTATTTGTTTTTCGTTGTACGTTCCTGGAAGAGGATCTTCCCAATTCCTACTTATCTTAAGTTCTATTACGAGTGCGAGCTGGGAACTGAACACGTGTTTTGGTATAAGGGCGCGATAATCGTTATTTGAACACAAATGAGTATTCGTCCCATCGTATCAAGCCATTAATTAGCTTTTTAATACGCTTTTATTAGCTTCAGACGTATATATCTTTGTAACGGAATTTGGCCGTACCGAATACCCCACGCTCTTTAACAATAAAATCATTTTTTCTTACACTATTTTTAATTAAAATTTATTAAAATTTATTTTCTATTTTTTAGTTAGATTTTCTGTAAAAGCGTATTTTGTTCGTTTTTTTAAACTATTATTTATTTCATTGGCAAACGAACTCACGGGCCTCCGGGTGCTAAATAACTATCCGAATTTATAGGCGTCCCAATAAAAGTATCGTCACTGACCTTGAGACAAGGCTGAAGTCTCAACTGTAGTTTTGATGAATAAAAATGTTACCCATCATTGTTATGCCTTAAAATCGGATAATAAAAATTCGGGGTTATTCAATAAACAGCAGTTTCTAATAGCGACCTTATGAAATTACTTTTTAGATTTAAATTTACACGCACATAAACTGTCTCTGTATAATAAATAAAAAATTTATTTTTGTATACATCGGTTCCTAGACCATATGTCCGATTTTGACGAACCTTACTACAGCTATTATTGGTACTTTAGACTATCAGATAGTCACAAAATATAATAGCAAAGCGTCTACTCCTGGTTTATTACTTTAGTTCAGTTACATACAAAATTCAAGAAGCCTTAAATCAGGTACTCACCTCGCATGAAAATCATTATAATGCAGGATATTCAAGGCATATCTATTATCATGAGCACTCACGACCACAAACAATGTCAAAACACAATACCGATTCATTTTCCGATTAAAATCTGATTAATTAAATTAAAATTGGGCACATGCTAACATTCGATAACACATGAACATGAAAGATAATATGGGATTATGTGAACATTATATTCGTTTGATAATGTAAAATTATAAATGATACAACGTGTCTTGTATGCTCAAACACCCGCAGTTTTCTGATAGGACACTTCGGAATGTTTATATCTCGACTTCAGTCCTGTCACTGACATGTTTTTAGCGATGACTTATTTTCTAGGTCTGAAGTTTGGTAGTCTGGTTATATCAGAGTCCGTTGACATCAAAACCGAAATAATCTTGGTTTTTGAGGACAAAGTCTTTTCTTCTAAACCACGACTTCTTCGCAGTAAATAAAGGTAAAATTATACATAGTTTTTTTTGCTTACTTACCTAGACAAGCTCACAGCCAGTCTGGTGTTAGGTGGTTACTGGAACCCATAGACATCTACAACGTAAATGTCGCCACCCACCTCGAGATGTGAATTCTAAGATCTCAGTATAGTTACAACGGCTGCTCCACCCTTCAAACCGAATTACTCCTTCACCAGTAATGCCACCAGTAATTACGCAAATTATAATTTTACGGGTTTGATTTTTATTACACGATGCTATTATTCCTTCACTGTGGAAGTCAATCGTGAACATTTATTGTTGAGTAACTGGCACCCACCTAGGCGCCTGCGGGATTGTAACATCGTTGCATCGCTAGATACGAATGCACGGATCGTCTTATCCTTTAAGCCACGACGACTTCACTAGACCGCGATGACTTCGATTCATTTGTTTAAATTTTATACAAAACTATACTGAAGACAAAGGTCTATAATCAGTGCGTCCTACCCATGCTTACCTACGGAGCCGAAACGTGGACACTGACTGTGCGACTGGTCCACCAATTAAAAGTTACTCAGCGAGCTATGGAGCGAGCTATGCTCGGTTTGTCATTGCGAGACCGAATACGCAATGAGGTTATTCGGGCAAAAACCAAAGTGATCGATATAGCTCGCAGAGTTAGTAAGCTGAAGTGGCAGTGGGCTGGTCACATATGTCGCAGAACCGATAACCGTTGGGGTAGACGTGTTCTGGAGTGGAGACCGCGAACCGGCAAACGTAGTCTAGGACGCCCTCCTGCTAGATGGAGCGACGACCTATGCAAGGCAGCTGGCAGTAACTGGATGCGTGGAACCGAAGATCGGGTTCAGTGGCGAGCTTTGGGGGAGGCTTATGTGCAGCAGTGGACTGCCGCAGGCTGATGATGATGATGAAATTTTATACGAAAATGGCCTGATGTGGCACGATAGAATAATCCAAAAAGTCACAAACTTAATACTAATGGTATGCTTGATGAAATTTTGTGAGTCCAAGTTTAGGAGACGTACCGATTTAAAAAAAAATTAGTATATAATAATTTAATCAATATCATTTAAAAAATTCTTTTTACGAAATCAAAAAATATTTTTAATTACTATACACACATTATATGTAATGTACTTATAGTATATTTTTAAAGTTAAATAATAATATATTTAAAACTCAAGATACATTCATGAATTGAAATAATAAGACCCTAAATTTACCGTCAAATCTTGTTCATCACAAGTCAAAAGCATTCCTAGAAAAAATAACTATGCAGAGATTTTGAGATTTAAACAATCCTCAAATATTTATATACATCCAAGAAACTATAATTATTATATCCGCTACTAACAATTAGCTTAACAAAAGTAAATTAAACTACATAATAATCATATAAACTGTGTATACAAGTCAAACTATACATGGATTGTCGATGTGTATCCTTCCATCTACGTCCGCGAAAACTGGAGACCGGTGCCTCACGTACTTCATCAGCAGATCATAGTCGACGCCCACGACTGTGACGTTCTTACGGTTGTTTGAAATCATCTGGGAACACACAGGGAAATTGAATGATTAGCTAAGCGTAAATATTTTATTTATTTTTTATTGCTTAGATGGGTGGACGAGCTCACAGCCCACCTGGTGTTAAGTGGTTACTGGAGCCCATAGGCATCTACAACGTAAATCCGCCACCCACCTTGAGATATAAGTTCTAATGTCTCAGTATAGTTACAACGGCTGCCCCACCCTTCAAACCGAAACGCATTACTGCTTCACGGCAGAAATAGGCAGGATGGTGGTACCTGCCCTGTGGACTCAGAAGAGGTCCTACCAACAGTAATATTTAAATTTTCTGTACATTTTGTTATTGGCTCTGTTTTACACAAAAAAAAACAATCTGTCTCTTTGGTTTTCTTTCGGATTTTACCGAACTTTGTGTGTGTGGTATCGATCTGAAATAGGACTACCCCACATCTTCCTGATAAATTTGCGCGAGAATGGAGCATTTCCAGAGTATTATATCAATATACTGCGATCACCAATTCGTATTTGTTGGTGGGTTAAAACAATTATGTACCTGTACGGATAAGTATTACTATCTTGCCTATTTCAGCCGTAAAGCCCTCCGGTTTTGCGGAGTAGCATAACAATTACATAATACTGTGGGAATAGCCATCACAGAACACAAGATATTTGACAGATGCCTGAAGATCTTCAACCGAGTGGGTGATATTGCTTGGTAGAACGACGGTCCGTATGTTGTTGTTCGGAACTTGTTTAAGTGGAAATCGGCCATCGATTCTGCGACACGTATGTCTGGCCCATTGCCGTTTCAGATTGCCTATATTTAGGGCTATTTCGGTTACTTTGGTTCCTCGACGGATTTCCTAATTTATTACTTAATCCATCAAAGAAACTCCAAGCATACCTCTTACCATAACACGCTGAGCGACTTTGAACTTACAGTCAATGTCTACGTTTCCGCGTCATATCATGACTGGTACTGGTGGCACGCAAGTATTGAAGACTATTGTCTTAAGCATTGCGGGATTGTTGAGTTAAAGATATGTGCCGAGTTAAAGATGTGGCTATATATGATATATAAAATATAGAACGTTACTCACTGTGAATCCATCTCCGCCGGCTCCGATGAAACTCTGGGAGACAACTCTGTAATACTTGTCAAGCTCCAGTGGTTCGTATCTGGGGACGTCGCAGGCGATGCACCTGACGGCCACGTTCAGAACGCGTTCGTTAACCGGCCTAGACCCGTCGAATGTCAGCAACAATCCTGTTTAAAAGTGGAATATCCGACTCGTAGTCCTTGATGGCTTTTGTGTCAATGAAAAATGTGTTGAATAAAAAAGTCTGTGAAACTGTGTGTACTGGTGGTAGGACCTCTGTGACTCTGACCTGTGAGTCCGCACGAGTAGGTACCACCACCGAAACGCATTACGCGTTTCGGTTTGAAGGGTGGGGCAGCCGTTGTAACTATACTTGAGACCTTAGAACTTATATCTCAAGGTGGGTGGCGCATTTACATTGTAGATGTCTATGGGCTCCGGTAACCATTTAATACCAGGTGGGCTGTGAGCTCGTCCACGCATCTAAGAAATAAAAAAAAAATCTTCATATTCATAAACTAATTTTCGACAACTTGAACTTCTGAGATATTCCAATCTTGTTTTCGTCACATATTTATAAGCCCTTGTTAAGCCACGGACACGTTCTTCTCGTATCGTCTTTGTCTCGGTTCTGATCTGGTATTACCACCATTTAGGGCCACACCGCTTTCAATAAGGCTATTGTTAACATGTCTTCCCAGGTTGAGCCTCGAGAACTCACCCATAAGTTCACGCGTAGTTGGAATAGTCACTTCGACTACCAACGATTAGGAACGAAAGCACATATATCTTTGGCCATTTTAATACACTTTAAACTTATAGTGCCATAATTATTGAATATACTGGGTACCTTGTACGATCAAAGTCTCATATACCGAAATAAAGTCTTTCTAAATATATTATTCAAGCTAGATTAATAATTCCGGTGTCTCTAGATATGTCATGTTAACAACTAAGCCTTAACTTACCGGAGACTTGCAACATTCTCGCACCAGCAAACGGTACATTAGCGACAGAAAATTCGAGCATTTCCATAATGTGGTCTCCTCTTAAATCGAAAACCTCGACGTTGTTTTCGAACGGTATAGATACGATCACTGATTCGAATGTTATTTCTGAAATTACAGACATATTTTAAATTAAGAAAAAAGAAATAGTTTATGCGATTGGGCCTATGAAGTAATAGCGGTGGTGACTTATAACTTTCTCAATATTCCAGGTCCAATCAATATGGAAGAAAATTGTTTATTTTATATTGTCTACTATAACGTACTCTATGTAAAGCGTTCACTCGAAGTAGCTGAAGTCGTCGTGGCCTAAAGGATAAGACGTCCGGTATATTCGTATCTAGCGATGCACCGGTGTTCGAATCCAATCGGTACCAATTTTTCTAATGAAATACGTACTCAAAAAATGTGAACGATTGACTTCCACGGTGAAGGAATAACATCGTGTAATAAAAATGAAATCCGCAAAATTATAATCTGCGTAATTACCTCTTGGGAGTCCACACAGGTAGGTACCACCACCCCGCCTATTTCCGCCGTAAAGCAGTAATGCGTTTCGGTTCGAAGGGTGGGGTAGCCGTTGTAACTATACTGAGACCTTAGAACTTATATCTCGAGGTGGGTGGCGCATTTACGTTGTGGATGTCTATGGGCTCCAGTAACCACTTAATATCAGGTGGGCTGTGAGCTCGTCCACCCATGTAAGCAATAAAAAAAAAAAAAGCTATACTTGAGATCTTAGAACTCATGTCTCAAGGTGGGTGGCGGCATTTGCGTTGTAGACGTCTTTAGGCTTCAGTAACCAATTAACACCAACCAGGTGGGCTGTGAACTCGTTTACTCATCTATGCAATAAAAAAGAAAAAAGTATAGGAAAAAGCCATAAAGTGCTCAACGGTAGACAGCGGCTTGGGAGACGGTAACCACTCACCATCAGGTGAGCCGTATGCTCGTCTGACAACAAGGGCAATAAAAAAGAAAAAAAAAAGCTGATGGCTAAAGGGATTTCTCTTCTACGTGTGTAAGATAATTACTAACTTCCGGGTGCGATATCCATCCTAACGTTTCCTCGGTTGATAACGCAAAAATGAGCATGATGCCAGCTATCACCCTGAGCTCTGGCCATGACCTGAAACATAATTTGATGATAGCAGTTTTCCACCGCCAGTTTCGGCTACCCGGGCTAACTATACTTTCTCTTAAGATTAGGCGAGCGAAAATAGTTTTTTTGACATCGTTATAGTTCAGCCAATTTGTCCAAACTATTTACAAATTACATACATAGCAAACCTTCGTTTATTGCCTGTTCTATTAGTGAATATGGTATCAAAAACTGGTCTAAAAGAAGGTGACTTTGTTTTATACTATTCATTATCATGATCACCATCATAATATAAACACGCTAATAATTGGAGGCAATCTTTACGAAGTATGTTAGTATGTATAACAGAGACTGATTTTTGGAGTTATTATTGGAATAATACGCGAACCGTTAGGCACAATACATACAAAAATTGGTGTCTGTTCTAAGGTTTATAACCATGGCATAAATATATGGAAATCTATCTGATATATATATCAGGTATATGCCCACAGGTATTTTTTTATCTATTCAAATTGAGTACTCACTTCATGCATGAAGGCGTCACAGACAAAACTGCCCAGATTACATTCACCACAAGCGCACCTTGAAGATAAATGCACCAGCGACGAACCTATTTCTACTGAAGCTTGTTCTTCGACCAATGGTTGGTATATTTTTATCTTATCTAGGACATCGGGTGCTGCGAAAATAACAATCATTATTACATTTTTAAAAACTAGAAGGATGTTGCTCCGAATAATAATAATAGAAAAGAATGTGAAAAGCATAGACTTATACTAACTATAATATGAAGAGTCAGGATTTTGTTTTTCAACAATTCAATTCATACTATCACATTTTTGAATTTTCAAAGCAATTGTGATGGGAAATATATTCAAATAAATAAAATTATGAAGGAAAAAAGATTTTTTTTACCAAACTTGTTGGATTTTAAAGTATCGAATAATATAACTCAGATTTTGGTGCAAGCAAGCTTATCTTTCTAAAATTCACGAGAGAAAACCTCACATCATATTATTATTATTATTATGTATGTATATAATTTTAGAATCACAAGCCGTACTGAGAATCCTATCTATAGAAATGGCTCCCTGCAAATATCCATTCTGTGATGTAACCTCTTTATTGATTCCAAACTCATTGTAAGTCAAACTCAATGCAAAAATATTCATAAACTGACACACTCATATGAATATGAAGTTCCTCAAAAAGACGAATATCTTGTCAAATACCTTGTTCGATTTCATTTCCGATGTAATGAGGATGACCTTCCCAATCGAGTAGATTGCCTGAATCATCAAAAAATAGCTTGATCTCGCCAAGGAATTGCGTATGCGCAGCGGCTTGAACGATCAGTACCTAAAAAAAGGAGAATGAAAATCAAAACCGATCAACGTTTTATCTCTAAGATAACAGATGATTCGTTAATTTCTGTGAAGGTTTTAGACTGTATTAATCAAAAGGATATCATATATATTTTATGGATACAAAGTCCCAGAGGGTAAAATTAGAATCTTGCATATCAACAAACGAAACACCCCTCACTTATCGCAAGATCTCCAAAATCATCCTTCCGAAATACTTTAAATTTGGCATAGACACTCTTTTCGCAATGTGCACTGACTAAGAACCAAGTTTACTTAAATCCTATTGTTTAATAAGTAAGTTAAGTACGTAAGTTAAGTTTTTTTTAAACTATCGTCGCATACATACATAATAGTAAGGTAGACGTGTGGCTAAAAGTCGCCATGGTAATCGTTGCTATAGGACTGGTAGTTTAAGCACCAGAGCAATAGAGCATTAAAAAATAAATCGATATTACCGGTCCGCCATCAGTATCCACTACAACCGGATAGGGACCACGAGGGACAAACCCGCTGTTCTCTGGAGGCTCGCCATTAAAGAGCAGGGTGTGACTGTGACCTCCTACAACGATGTCGATGTGAGGACCGCCATTTGCCGCTATTTCTCTGAAAAATTATTGTTACCTTTAACTGTAGGATGCTCAAATGAAACCAAGTCTCATTTCGTTAGGATTACGTGCTACAGAATTTCTTTTGTAATTAGTTCACAAGCATTGTATACCTAAATTGAAAGTTTTAGAGTCGAACCGTTTTTCCCGCTTCAATAGATAGACTCAAGAAATTAGTGTCGCGTGTAACATGTGTAGTGAACTCCCAATATGTCTTGATTCCTCTGTACTTTTTGCATTTGAAGAAAAACTCGTTGTAAGGTTTTAACATTTTTCTTACTTATCAATATCCAGACCGCAATGTGAAAGTACTATGATGATGTTGATTCCTTGTTGGTGTAGTTTTTCAGCTTCTGCTTTGACTGTTTCAACTTCGTCAGTAAATCTGAGCCTTCCCGTAGATGCTAGTTGCTAAAATTAATCAATTAATGAATCATTGACTCTCATGATATTAAACATAAAATTCTAGTACGTCGAACGTTTTTAGAGTTGAGCGAGCCGTAATATTTACTGTTGCGGAAAACAGAAGATCAAAAGATCAACTCGAATGTATTCGTTTACCACGCCAGCATTTCTCAAAGCACAGATAGACCGCTTTTTTTTGAGCTGAAGCCCAAACCTTCGTCAAGTTCGTAGGCTTAAGGGCGCGAGGGGTATGTGGAATCACGGAGCTTTCGAGGCAAATTGACGGCTCTGAAAAGTCGGTCGTCTCAGTAGGACAGTCTGTTAGGTGGCCCAGGCAATGCTTTTAGTGACCCGGGATAACCGCGGGGTGATAACCTGTCTGCGTAGGTTGGGACGCAATACGTAACCAATCAGTCGCTCTTTTCACGATTATGCTACCACAGGGTGACGCGCTAATGCTTGCAGCGCGCCGCGTCGTCTCTTGCACCTCAGGTCGCTCCATGATCTTAACCGGAGGAGATCGTCACCTACAAGGGCCAAGACATATACTCATACTGTCTTCACTGGCCTCCAGTTTGCCGGCGACGCTTCGGTGCGAAGAGGGAAGAGCTCTCCCTCTCTCATTACGCCGATTCGTTTTGCGAGATAATTAATTCGCAAATTTCCAACATTGGGTTTCAAGTTATCCTGGCCACGACGGCCGACCGCATAGGTCTTCTATAACAAAAACCGCTGCCTATCTAAGATAATGGACATAAAATAATAAATTGGTAGAGAAACACAACTCACGTCGGTGATAGCAATAATAACACCGATTATACCAATCTTCCGTCCGCCTCGTTCTACTATAATACTTGGTTTGTACAGCCCTTGGATAGTTGGTTCATCGTCATCAATAATATTGGCAGTGACTACAGGAGAATCCAAGTGCTCAAGATAAGGTACTACGCCTTCAATACCATTGTCGAACTCGTGATTCCCTAAGACCTAGAAAATAATTTGTTGCTATATTTTTTTTACTTTTATCCTTGTATCCTTATTTGAGCATATTGCGTCCGCGAAGAAGTGTGAGATTTGAGAATGTCAAAATTGAGTCTGCGCGTGTAGCATGCACTGGCCCATGTGAGGTTTGATGGAATCAACCATCCTCGCTTACTACAAAACGCGTAAGAGTCTGCAGACATTACTAAGTACTAGACTAGTCCCATTGGGTCGTGAAAAAATATTGCCATTTTAAAAATTACTATTAATAACAAAATTACCCATTCTAAATGACACTTACATGAGCGTCATGTTTGAGCATATTCATGAAGTCTTGGGTTACGTTCCATCTCAAGATATTGTACCATATGGTACCTTGGAAACTGTCCCCTGCATTTAGTAATAAGGAATCTGGTTCAGCTGCTTGTCTCTCCCTCACTTTAGTAGCCAGTCTAGCAAATCCTCCGATACATGGTGCCTCGGCTGGATTACAGGTCGTGCCTGCCGGGCTGGTTTCTACGAATCTAATCAAGAATTTACAAACTCTTGAATTGTTCATGTCTTACTCTTTTTAGGAAAATAACAACTTCGATTTAAGGGATTTTTAACGCAGCTGGCAGTTGATGTCCTTATATCTTCTGACATTGACCTGCTTAGTCACAGAGTTACGAAAAAGCAATACTAAATAATTGTATTAAGACTTTGATAATAGCAACTAAACAAATCAAATACGAGCTTATCTACCTGAACTGCTTATTTTAGATCCCCTTAGCTCTTATTTAGCTATGACTTGTCAGTCTTAATTTTAGAACACCGTATTTCTTTGATTTAGCATTTATTATTGCTAATAGTATCAAACGAAAATCAAAATGGTAGTACTATATTATCTATGGATCTAAGTCCAAAACGTTACANATAATAGCAACTAAACAAATCAAATACGAGCTTATCTACCTGAACTGCTTATTTTAGATCCCCTTAGCTCTTATTTAGCTATGACTTGTCAGTCTTAATTTTAGAACACCGTATTTCTTTGATTTAGCATTTATTATTGCTAATAGTATCAAACGAAAATCAAAATGGTAGTACTATATTATCTATGGATCTAAGTCCAAAACGTTACAGAATCATTATCTAGATATAACAAAACAAGAAAGTGAAGATCGAGATAACAAGAAATACTAAAATATGTAACTAAATTTTGATTGTTGATAAAGTTGTTGTTTTCTTTTATTACTGTGTATTTACTAACTTATTTTTAAGATATAACTGTTACTAACATTTATATCGATCATTATCTGAAATAAATAATTTGATAATAATAAAGAAAATCTGTGGCTCAGACGGCGCCCAACAAGAATGGACTTAGAAGTTTGGTTAATTTCTACTAATACATTTCAATACCTCAATTTGCTGCTAGTGAAGTTCACACCGTTGAAGACATTGAATTACACTCCAAGTCTTGAAAAAACGAAGGTTTTCTAGAAGTTTCCTAACCTTCTACACTAAGAAAAATTCTTTCTTTCACTTCACTCTCACGGAAACTTCAAGTAACGCACTCACCTAGCATGAAAATCATTATAGTGCAATATATTCAAAGCAAATCTACTTTCTTGAGCATTCACAATCCCAAACAGTGTAAGAACGTAATATATTATCATTTTCTGAATATTTAAAGAAATTAAACTTATATGAGGCGCGTGCTAACCTTTACTACGATGTGAAAGCTGAAGCAGCTTCAAATAATTAAACAGATTTTACTTAATTACTAAATTTTATATCATATTACCAAATCACATCAACAATCTACAACGATAAGTAATTATCTTGAGTTGTAGGTATGCTAATGTATGAATGACGATTTTTTGAGGAAAATATCGAGAATAGTTTTTATTTTTTATTTATTTATAATAATTTATAACTATTTATAATTAATTTTCAATAATAATATCTATGAGCCATTCAACATGATCAAATGGAATGAAAGGCATGGTGTGTAACACGTTTGTATTAAAGTCCTATTTTTCAGTAGACAGACTTTCTGGAGTTTATAGATACCAAAGAGTATGTGGCCCCTACCTTAAAACATGTCGTCAAAGATTCAATTGAATTACAATAATGATTATTCCTTCCTTCAAACTGAAGTTATTAGTTCAGAAATAATCTATTACAGTTACTTATCCTAGCCCATTAATCATCGCCACACTGATCGTCTTAAGACAAGAGTCTTCATTGCATCACACAAAGCCGGAACACTTGACTTCCTCACGAGCTATGGTACTTTAGATACAATATTTGAGGTTAAGAGTTCGGGACTTCTCAATGAAGTTGCTATCATTACTAATGGATAATTACGAAGTGATTGCAGTAACTGCAGGTCATCAATTCGTATCTTCTGACCTATAGTCAGTCCAAGGAATATAGGATGGTATAGTAATTTTTTTTTATTGCCCTTGTAGGCAGGCGAGCATACGGCCCACCTGATGGTGAGTGGTTACCGTCGCCCATGGACTTCAGCAACGCCAGGGACAGAGCCAAGCCGCTGCCTAAAAGCTACATGGTTGACGGCATAATCTTTAGTTCTCTACATCGATAATTAGCAAATATATAATTGGCTGTATGAGACTTTGTGGCTTGTATTCTGCATTTTAGTTTCTTTGCATCTGGTCACATTGGTGCCATTAAAATATTTTGATGTAAAATTTTAAGCAGACGATCGAAATAAGGCAATATATAGTAGTTAGTCTTCCAAAAGTCTCAAGAACGAACTAAAATAGGCCTTTTATTTCTTCGTGATATTTTTCTTGAAGAAACACAAAACCTACCGAAACCTATCACTAAGCATAAAATCTCTGATAACATATCAAACGACATTATATTTGCTTTGATAGCAAAATTTGCATGACAATCTACTTACTATACGGAATAATAGTATTTTTTTTTTGTTGCTTAGATGGGTGGACGAGCTCACAGCCCACCTGGTGTTAAGTGGTTACTGGAGCCCATAGACATCTACAACGTAAATGCGTCACCCACCTTGAGATATAAGTTCTAAGGTCTCAGTATAGTAACAACGGCTGCCCCACCCTTCAAACCGAAACGCATTACTGCTTCACGACAGAAATAGGCAGGGTGGTGGTACCTAGCCGTGCGGACTCACAAAGGTCCTACCACCAGTAATATTATTTATTTATTCATAATTATATATTATTTATTCATAAATAAATAATTTCAAAATGTACAATTCTTTTTGTTTTCTGTTTTTCTTAGTGCACTTACGCTGATCTAGATTAATATTGAGTTAATTTATCAACTTATTTTAATTGAGATTAAATTAGCTTAAATTTAGTTACTATATTGTTTATTATCTTTAACGTATTTATTCTGAACTATAAATTCCGATCTAATGAATTGTAAAGAAACACGGTTTAGTAGACGTCTGGTGTAGTGGTAAGTGACATGGTCACTACACAAGGGGGTCGCGGGTTCGAATCCCGCCAAGCGAAGATATTTGTATGATAAACATAAATGTCTTTTCCAGGGTTATGGATGTCTATTAAATATATGTATGTGTATAATAAAAATCTTACATTTATATCCGTTATCTGGTACCTGTAACACAAGTTCTTTACGAACTTATCACGGGACCAGTTAACGTGGCGTGGTTGTTAGTAAATATTTATTTATTTATTTATTATTCACCCCATACTTCAAGGTTTTCCTAATATTCCAGAATTATTTTCTTTTTACTAAATGGATAAATAGCCTCACGATAGATCTTGTGAAAATGGTCGTCTTCCGCTTTAAAGTATTAGATCCAAGTCTCAATTATATTGTGTAACGGAAGTCCTACCCTTCAAATGGGAACGCATGATGCTTCAATACAAAGTTAACAGATTATACGACTGACTGACAGCGGTGCAGTAATAAGCGGCCCTGAGTGTTGTGCCGAGATTCTTTGATTTCCACTTCTGACAAAGATTGTGTCATGATGTCAGATTGTTTGCTTTTGGTCTGCGTNTTAGATCCAAGTCTCAATTATATTGTGTAACGGAAGTCCTACCCTTCAAATGGGAACGCATGATGCTTCAATACAAAGTTAACAGATTATACGACTGACTGACAGCGGTGCAGTAATAAGCGGCCCTGAGTGTTGTGCCGAGATTCTTTGATTTCCACTTCTGACAAAGATTGTGTCATGATGTCAGATTGTTTGCTTTTGGTCTGCGTGTTTAATGAAGTGAAACTTCTAATGCGACTTCCAACAAAGTTGTGTTAAACGTTAAACGCTACCTAGAAAGAGACAGAGCGAGAGTGAATGCGTGACACTCGAACGCATGCGCGTAGTATACTTGCTACAAGCCAGCGCGAGCGTTAGCAACGAGTAGCATCCAATATTTTAATGAAGTGTTTAAATATATATTTATTTTTCTATCTATAATTTAAAATATATAAAATATATATGTTGAAGATGTCGCATCTCTTCGCATACACAGCATTTCCTATTTATTACAAGAGCAATCTGATTTAAAGATGAAAAATGAAGAAAACCACAATACTACATACACTACGAAAAAGAAGTTTCACTTCATTCACGTGCACCAAGTTGCTCGCACGCACCGTTTTTTATCTACATATTTATATATTTAAACATACTTTTATCATACATACGTTTATCAGTCTCTGGTACCAATAACACAGGGAATCCCAAATTGGACCATGCGTGGTTTACTCCCAGCTATTATTAAGTATTATTACATAGTAAAAGAACACAAAAATTATTACTCAAATCCAAAAAAAATATGTACATAATATGTTTTAACCGAAAAACTAATTCGAACTGAAACCACAATTCATTAAACCTTAAAGCAATATACCAAAAAAGCAAAAAGGGAATCTTTTGAAAAGTAGCCAATAAAAACTTATTGTTAAAAGCCAGTTAAGACCAAACCTACCTCAATGAAACTATGGATGCAGCGCCAATCTCGCTGCGAGTGTGGCAAACTGCCAATGCTGAGTGCGCTTGATAAGTACCTGCGGGGCAAAAGCTCGTGGAGGCTGCACTAGTTTAGCTAATACGATGTAAGAAAGAACAAATTTTCTCTGTATTGTGGGTAAAATAAATTTCACAGGTTTATTCCAAATTTGTTGACTAAAAATTTAGTACATATTATTTGGAATATCACTTTTGAGGACGAATGGAACTGATACAGGATTAGGCCTTAAAACTGATTTAATTAATTTAAATCGGTTATTGCTAGGTTTTGTTTGAAAGATCACCGGTATAATTATTAATGTTTATACCTACATCAATATAACGTGATTCGGTATCTCCTTTTGCTCTATTCTTGACCACTTCCATCCATGACTTTCGTGCTTACAATTGTGGTATCTTATCTTGTCCTTGGCAAATGGGAGGGCATCAGAGCATTCTCTACTTCAAATTGGCCTTAAAATGCAAACATATTAAAACAAAAAGCTGCGAATTTTTTTCTGGTCTTATTTTTATCAATGTCACCCGATTTTTTCAGCTGCTGACGGTAGTTACCACAAAATATTTAATAGTATTGATGAAACGGAATACGTATAACTAAAAACGATAATATAATACCAGTATTTTTTCTTCAATCGTTACTAACAAAAATAGGTACAAAGATTTTTTTTTATTGCCCTTGTAGGCAGATAAACACACGGCCCACCTCGCGGTGAGTGGTAACCGTTGCCCATGGAGTTCAGCAATGACAGGGACAGAGCCAAGCCGCTGTCTACCGTTAAATACCAGTAATATACGATAAATACCAGTAATGTACATATTCGTAAAATGGTACAAATATTAGACTGTGTTTTATTTGTATGTATTTATAAGTACACCAATATGAAATCAAAACAAATGCAAAATATTATTACAGAAAATATTCGAATCGATTGGCACAACAAGAAAATGTAGGTACAAGCTTATTCTATATATCTTATATCAATGTTGGGGAGAACTAAAGGTAAAAAAGGTAAAAGAGATGAAAACATTTTGTAGATCTTCAAGAGCAAGCTCATCATATGGCAGTTATCACTTCAAAGAGCTTACAACTAGAATATTAGCCGGGAATAAATCACACACGATCATCTGGGTCCAAACTAGGGTTCGCTGCAATATAAGACGACGTAACGGCCGTCTGGTGTAGTGGTAAGTGACATGGTCACTACACAAGGGGCAGCGGGTTCGAATCCCGCCAAGGGAAGATATTTGTATGATAAATATAAATGTCTTTTCCAGGGTTATGGATGTATATTAAATATTAAATATATGCACGTGTATAATAAAAAATTTACATTTATTTCCGTTATCTGGTACCTGTAACACAAGTTCTTTAGGAACTTAGCACGGGACTAGTTAACGTGGCATGATTGTTATTAAATATTTATTTATTATTATAAGAACCAGAGACTGACATGCATATTTACGTACATTTAAATATAGAAGTTCGTAAACCAACCCTAATAAACAAACCTGTTCATTGGACGAATGTTTGCTCGTTGTGGGAGCTGAAGCCACGACCTTCAGCTCAGCAGTCAAGGCACTAAATACTACCACTGAGTCAGTCAATAGCCTAATTTGTTAAATTAAATCATTAGGCAGGTCGTGTACAGCGAATGGTGGTAGGACCTTTTGTGAGTCCGCGCGGGTAGGTACCACCGCCCTGCCTATTTTTGCGGTGAAGCAGTAATGCGCTTCGGTTTGAAGAATGGAGCAGCCGTTGTAACTATACTGAGATCTTAGAACTTATTTCTCAAGGTGGGTGGCGCATTTACGTTGTAGATGTCCATGGGCTCCAGTGACCACTTAACACCAGGTGGGCTGTGAGCTCGTCCACCCACATAAGCAATAAAAAAAAAATTAACGTACCAAGTGTACAAGTGGAACTTTTCGGGCTATATACAGAAAATTATGATTATGATGAGGAGTTGAGTGATGAAAACGGTGAGGATTGGTATTACAGCAGCTTGATACACAATTGCCTAGTACTTCTATTTCTCGGAATGTTTTGCGTCAAGATGCTTTCGCTACTACTAGTGGATGAGGTAAAGTAATAATACAGTATGATGATACTCAAAATCGGAAACTCATTTTGAGAAAAACATTACATTTGTCACGGAAATTTTTTTGGAAGAATGGGATTAGGACGTTGTTATCAGTAGAGATATATTAGAAGAACTGTATACCCCGGCAGCTTGTGTGATGATGAGTACGATGATAAAAAATGTGAGCCGTCACGGGACGCCTGGCAGATGTGAAACATCGACATTATTGGCAGGAGTTGGAGAGAATCGCACAGTCGATTGCGCATGGCGACGCGTCGCCATACCGCACACACTACTGCATATAGACATTATATATATACCATCATATAGCGTGGCGACGCGTCGCCACTGCATGCATCGCCACGCCAGAAATCGGTTTTACGTGCGGCTATAGATGTTTCACATCAAAAGGGCTTTTCTTTGTTTAGTAACTAAACAGGCTAGTTAAATTTAAGCTTATGCTATATCAAGAACTTTTCCCACAACTTGAAACAGTTTTCTATAACATGACCAAGTTAAAAGGATCCTTCTTGCGCAGTAGTTCGACACACTCGAAGTCTATGCAATTTTACGGAACATTGCATCTTAAGTAACTATCGCTTACTAACTAGCGGGGAGCTTTTGTGCTTAAAATGTATAACGGTTTAATGGACCAAAGTCTGGCTGACCAATAAAGTTATTAAAGAACTTTGTACAATGAATTTTATGTGACGTGAACGAGAAATGTTTAACTTGCGGCGGGATTTCTCTATTCTTATTAAAAGTTTAATTAATGGAAACATTCGATTATTTTCATTGATTTAATATTGGCTTTTAAATTATTTTAAAGATTTAAATCTATTTTCAAACTTTGATACTTAAATCTTCTCAGACATATGCACAGTAAAACAATAAAAATTACAGAAAGATAGAGATAAGGAGAGGCAGAAGGCGAGTATAGTCTTTTAAGAACTTCGGTGCGAAAAAAAAAAAAAAAATTATTATCTAAACTCTAAATTGTAAATAGCCTTTTTAGGGAGTTTCTTGAAACATGTTAACGAATGCTTGTAATTCAGCAATCAGTTGAGCAACCAATTAACATTATTATGTTGGCAAAATCTGGCAATTTAACTTCAGTTGACTTTTACGTCAATTTATGAATACGTTTTATCTCGAGTAAATTTTCCGGGAAAACGACAAGTGAAATGAAATAAAAAATTGTAAGAAGTTACGGAAATTGCACAATCTGGTTGAAGAAATATACGGGGTATACGTTCTGAAATTAGTAATAAAGCCATTCCGCTCTAAGATGAAGTCTAACTATGTAATGGAAGAGATTTGAAACAATGTGAATACGTGCATCGACATCGACATCGAAGTCGTCGTGGCCTAAAGGATAAGACGTCCGGTGCATTCGTGTTGAAGCGATGCACCGGTGTTCGAATCCCGCAGGCGGGTACCAATTTTTCTAATGAAATATGTACTCAACAAATGTTCACGATTGACTTCCACGGTGAAGGAATAACATCGTGTAATAAAAATCAAACCCGCAAAATTATAATTTGCGTAATTACTGGTGGTAGGACCTCTTGAGAGTCCGCGCGGATAGGTACCACCGCCCTGCTTATTTCTGCCGTGAAGCAGTAATGCGTTTCGGTTTGAAGGGTGGGGTAGCCGTTGTAACTATACTGAGACTTTAGAACTTGTATCTCAAGGTGGGTGGCGCGTCTACGTTGTAGATGTCTATGGGCTCCAGTAACCACTTAACATCAGGTGGGCTGTGAGCTCGTCCACCCATCTAAGCAATAAAAAAAATTAAAAAAGCTTTTACTTTATTCCATAACAATTTTTAGTGCTACAAGATTATATAAAATACAGAAATTCAACAATATTAAAAATATAAACGTTTTTGTTTGAAAAAACAATAATGGAATATTGTCCATGCAGATTCGATTTTAATTCAAAGAGGCCACCTGCTTCAAGCCGCAACTAGAAAATTTCAATACTAAAATCACCGTATAAGTAAAGGTTCTTCAATCAAAATACAAAATAATATAGTTTTTTATAAGGTATCATCCACATAAAGCTTTCATGTTTTCGTTCTTACAAAATGATCAATAGTACATTAATGGCATGTCGGCATAACTGATTACTAGGGTGATAGTCATATGTGATCACATTTGTAGTAGGTACCTACATATAAAACTAGGTTTTTAGTTTATGTAATATATAAGTTTTTTTTTTGTTTTTTTTTTGTTATATCAAATTATAGCACGATTGTACAAGGAGCACCTCGCAAAAAGGGCTACTGTAGCTTATGGACATAACAATTCTATATGCTAACGGAGAATATTGTGGAGAAAAGTTTTTTACCCTTGAGTTGGATTGTCCACGGAGTAAGTGATTCTATAAAAGGCTCTCACTGTACGAGTTGTACGTGTTTTCATTTTTTTATTTCCCTTGGGTGTAGNTCATCCAAGGGCATTCTCATCGATGAACAATTCGGATTCCGTACAAATCACTCATGCGTTCAACAGGTGCACCGCCTCACGGAGCACATTCTTGTGGGGCTTAATCGACCAAAACCGTTATACACGGGAGCTCTCTTCTTCGACGTCGCAAAAGCGTTCGACAAAGTCTGGCACAACGGTTTGATTTTCAAACTATTCAACATGGGTGTGCCGGATAGCCTCGTGCTCATCATACGGGACTTCTTGTCGAACCGCTCTTTTCGATATCGAGTCGAGGGAACCCGCTCCTCCCCACGACCTCTCACAGCTGGAGTCCCGCAAGGCTCTGTCCTTTCACCCCTCCTATTTAGCTTATTCGTTAACGATATTCGTACCTACCCGTGCGGACTCCCAAGAGGTCCTACCACCAGTGATTACGCAAATTATAATTTTGCGGGTTTGATTTTTATTACACGATGTTATTCCTTCACCGTGGAAGTCAATCGTGAACATTTGTTGAGTACGTATTTCATTAGAAAAAATGGTACCCGCCTGCGGGATTCGAACACCGGTGCATCGCTAGATAAGAATGCACCGGACGTCTTATCCTTTAGGCCACGACGACGACGATTTATTTATTTCATAGATGAGAGCGAGCTCTCAACTCATTTGCGGTTGAGTGGTTACCGGGATCGTAGGATCGTAGATGTCACAATGAGAATGCTACATTCAGAATTGAGGTCGATGTCTCAAACGTAACGACAATATGGAATGCTCTATTAGATATATTAATTTTTATGGTGCATGGCCAAAATAGGTAGACCTGTGGCTATTACCCGTTTGCAAGCAAAATACTACCCTAGTACCTATCTAACTAGTATCTTTTTCTTTTCCTAAACATCGTCCTTATGATTCTAAACCTTCCCTAATGATTCTAAAAGGAAACATATTGTCTTTGAAAAATAATATATTATACAATATTTTCGGTGTAAAATCAAATATATTATACAATATTTTCGGTATAAAATCAAATATATTATACAATATTTTCGGTATAAAATCAAATATATTATACAATATTTTCGGTATAAAATCAAATATATTATACAATATTTTCGGTGTAAAATCAATTTCAATGTATCTAACCGTTTTAATACACTTTTAATTTAATTTTACACTAACACTTTTGATAAATGTTTATACAATACACATTGTTATTAGGAAAATTCAGTTTTTTTTTTTAAATTTTTATTGCCCTTGTAGGCAGACGAGCATACGGCCCACCTGATGGTGAGTGGTTACCGTC